CAGACGTGTGCTCTTCCGATCTCCCCAAAACCCCAAAACCCCAAAACCCCGGGCAATCAATTGAAATGAATTTTTAGATTTCTGTATAATTGTCTCAGCCAATTTTAAAGCTAATCTAATTATTATATGCAGTAAAATAAGTGGCTAGTCAAAACATCTTAATTTAACGAATGATTTTCAAAGATCAACCTGGTCTAATACACCCTTTTCTTCTAGAAAATGCATGATTTGAAAGTCTTTATTTATTTTTATCCTAACATCGTCTGTGCTTTTAAACTACCTTAGATATGCAGTTAAGTTGATAAGTACATTATCAGTCTTATCACCTTCATAGTCATAAATTGGTATCCCATTAGTCAATTGAAGATAAAAACTCTAGATATTGTTATCGACTATAACAATATCACAGAGATCTCTTCCATTTTCCAATATTTTTAAGTCCTTAATATAAAGATCATTTTCAACTGAATATAGGCATTATTATAGAGATAAAATGTGATCAAAGAAACAGAAGTTAGGTACTATACTTGAGTGGCCTTCAGGATATTTTTCTTAATACCATTTATGAACACACTCTGAAAATGCAGCAGCATATGATTGAGTGCCACAGGTGTAAAGAATTAGTTCAAAGTCCGGGAATAAATCCTCAAGCATTTCAAATACATAAGGTCTGAATGATAAATACGCTTTTTGAGTTCCTCCAAATCTATTAACTTTTATCTTAATAGTGGCATCTATTGAGGATGATGGCATTTCATTTGAGTTATGTGCAGCAAATACCAATGTTTCATCAATGTCAAAGACAATTGTCTTTTTTTCTATAAATAAATCAACTTATCAATTAACTTACTTTTAGAACTTTTTGCATAGGATTGCTAAATTTTGGAATAGTTTTTAGAATAATTTCTTTTGAATTTAGGAAAAGTGAAAATTGCTGCATTAAGGTTTTCAGCATAGACTTGCTTAAATTGTTTGTCAGCAAGTACCAATTCATTGTACTACTATATCTTCCTCAATTTATTTAAAAAAGACTTGTTTTATCTTATCTTAACTCTAGTTATATCTTCAAGTTTATTATTAATCTAACTCTTTGTTTTAGATATGACTAAAGTAAACGCCTCATCAACAGATTTATTTGAACCAGTCATTTTGTGATTGCCTGAATTCCCTCCTCCATTAGTCACATCATTACCAATCTTAATTAAATTAGCCTTTAATAACTCTCCATTTTTAGCAGCAGATTTTTTCTTATTTGTAGATCTCTTTTTTAAGCCATTATGCTCGTTATGAGGAGACTAATTGTTATTTTTCTTAACACAGATAGTAACTCTTCTCTTTTTATTTTTCTTCTCAGGAATCACCCCACTCAGTGGTGTTGCTAATTATGATTAATAAATATCTTCATTGTGATCTAATGGCTAATAAGTCTATTAGATTGTGCTATTCACTTAATCTTCTGCCATGTATCGAGGTTGACTGTAAAATTACTTAAGAACTAAAGCACTATCATTAGCATCGCTGAAATTCAACTTTTGATTGCTTAAATGCTAGTTAATCGCTTATTCTTCAGAAATATCTTGCTGATCCTAGTTTTCATTTAAATTATAGTATTTATCCTGTTTTTCATCCTCCTCAATTTCTTGCACATTATTTTCTTTGCATTTTATTTCCTCCTTATTGAGTTTATTCTTATTTTTTAATGATTGGGTTCTCTCCTATTTGAGCGTGATCATCTTATAGAGGTATTTTTCAGCCTAATCATCCTCATCTTCTACAAAATCTAACTCGACTTCTTTAACTAAATAATACTATTTTTAAAGACAATTTTGGCTTACAGTCTTAATTTAATGAAGCCTTTTTTAGAATTCTTTTGCTAAACTCTTCATCGTTTTCTTTGGGGTATAATAATTTGAGATTTTAAGGGTTAATCTGATAGTTTGAAAGGAGATTGGGAAGCTGAGACTAAGTCACATGCATCTCACTTTCATTTTCTATAAATGATTCTCTGATACCTAAATAATCCTAATCTTGAATTTAAATTCTTTCAATTTTGTCCTTCGCTTGCTGGATAGCATGTACTACTTTGGTATAATATGAATTCTGGGACTAAACCTTATTTTTATTGTTTTCTTCAGATATGTCCAGATACTATGCTGATCCTTTATTGTAAGTGAGAAAACTGGACTTGGTCATTTTGTCATAATTGATGTGTCTGTGCTCTAAAATTAGTTTAAAATCAACACTTAAAATGGTATAATTAAGATTTTGCGAATAATAATTACAATCATCATCAGACGAAGTAAATTCCTCATAAAAATCGGATGACTCATCGTTTTCAGAGCTTGAATCTCTATTTGAAATGCTCGAATCATTTTTTGAAGACATTTAATAAGTTTATATAATACTTGAGATAATATTATTGCTTTCCTCTCTTCTCATTATACTATAATACAAGGGGTTTTGGGGTTTTGGGGTTTTGGGG